GGGAGATGTACCGCACCGAGCCGCTCGCCGCCAACCCCTTCGCCGCCGTCTTCGCTCACCTGCTCAACCCCGCGCCCGAGCGCGGCGGAGACGAGGCGGAGCGCACGCCGCTCTCAGGTGCGGGGCAGGTGATGCCCTCCCGGCCCCATCTCGGCTCCCCGGTGGTTGCTTTGGCTTTCTGCCTCGTGGAGAAAGCGGTGGGAATGCTTCCCGGCCGGAGTCTCTAGGCTGAGTGTTAGGCAGGCACTTGCTTGGACCCTTACACGGACTTTTGTGGGAGAAAGCCGTTAGGAAAAGCTGGAGGTGATGGGAGAGTTCTGACTGCTTTAGAGCTGTGCAGCAAACCCCGTGGAGAGAAGTAGGGGAAACGAACCTCTTGGAGAGAGAGAGGGGAAACAATGCTCTTGGAGAGAAATGGGGGAAACAAACCTCTTGGAGAGAGATGGGGGAAATGACCCTTTTAGTGAGAGATGGAGGAAACGAACCTTTTGGAGAGAGATGGGGAAATGAACCTTTTAGAGATGGGGGAAACAAAGCTCTTGGGGAGAAAGGGGGGAAACAATGCACTTGGAGAGGGATGGGGAACAAAGCTCTTGGGGAGAGATGAGGAAAACGAACCTCTTGGAGAGAAATAGGGAAAACAAACCTTTTGGAGAGAGAGGGAAATGAAGCTCTTAGGGGGAGAGAGGGAAATAAACCTCTTGGAGAGAAATAGGGGAGATGAACCTCTTGAAGAGTGATATGTGAAACAAACCTCTTAGAAATACATGAAACACTTTTTCTGGCTTCAGTACGTAAGTGATGAGTAAATCAGTTTCTAAACAAACTCTTCACTACTTGCAGCATGAATGGCCATGTCAGGTATTTATAAGTCACTGGTTGGATGGATTGGAGAGGTTGTAAATAAACCACTGGGAGTGACGTGGCATCAGATGTCACATGTTGAGATGCCTAATACTGTGTAATAATAGTAGTGATAACAATATGGATAACAAGTGTAATGCTGAGTTCTGTATCACTTTAGGAGCAGAGTAGGTAACAGTTTAGTGTGTGCTCAGACTCTCCTGTTGCTCTGACCTGACCATAAGTAGCACATCAGTTTGTGTTTTAGTTTTGCTTGTTCTCCATGAAGCATAGGGAAACTTCTGCTGTTTCTGTGTTAAAAGCCAGGGGTTGTTTTTCACTCATTGTTTTTTTCACTCCATAGGATTCTTACCTCCCATAACTCCTCCAGAAAAGTTCTTCCTCTCCCAGCTGATGTTGGCCCCTCCTAGAGAGCTGTTCAAGAAGACTCCGCGGCAGATCGCTGCCATGGACGTGGGGAACATGGCCCAGTCAGTGGATATAAGTGGGCTCCAGCTGGCATTAGCAGGTATGGAAGGTTGGCAACTGCTCTTCGCTATTGTAATGTGACTGAGGAACACTCTTGTCTGTCCTAAAACTATGCTTTAGGGTCTTTAAGTTTATGTTCAATCACTTCAAGCAGAGATTACATCTTAACTCTTTTATCCTCCTTAAGAAGTAGTTTTTAGAGCATCTATATCACTGCCTTAAACAGGAAAACATTCAGCTCCAGGAATATTTTAATCTAAAGCCGTGTGGGGTGTTTTTAGGGGTATATTTCACCCTTAGCAATATTTCTAGTACGAGAGAACAAAAGAACTGTCACTCTGTCATGTACCTGTACCTGGCAAAGTGACTATTACAATTATATTCTCAGTTTATTGTAATGTCACATCTTGCAGGGTTAGCTCAAGAGAGGGAAGGTGTTCCACTTACTAGACTGAAAACAAAAGCAATGTGATGCTTATCCTTTGACAGGAGAACAGGAGGAGGAAGGTGATTGTTCAGGTCGTGTTAACTGATGAGTCACATCTGGAGCTAATCTGAAATGTAAAGTGTTTGGAACAAGGAGCCAGTTTGAACACCAAAAAAAGTAGTGGTTTTTATCCCTAGGTATGTGCAAACAGACCTGCTTGCTTGAAAACTGACCATCCCACTTTACACCTGTTCAGTGTGGTTTGTTGCTCTGAGCTCAGGCACTGGTTAGACTTTCTCTGTCCTGTGGTTGTATCTTGTTGTCATTTTTTACTGTACACTCCCAACAATGACTTGTGCTGTGGTACACTGTCCCTTGTCCACAGTGTACAAATGTCCTCTGGTGTCCTCCTTAGCTACTTCTTCCAGACTGTGGGATCTTTGGAGAATGCAATTGAACACCCTAACATACCATCACAGGCAAGACAAACACTTCTGGTTCTTGTTCTGTCCCTCCTGTCTGTATTTTGTACAACCCTTAGCCAATTCAGATTTTGTGAAGCTTCAGGTAACTTGTGATTTTTAGCATATGTGATACCTCAAGAATCCTGGAATCTTTTTCATTTGTTTTCATTTGCTTTCCCCTTGGTATTGTGTTCACCTTCTGAATACCATCACAGGCAAGACAAACACTTCTGGTTCTTGTTCTGTCCCTCCTGTCTGTATTTTGTACAACCCTTAGCCAATTCAGATTTTGTGAAGCTTCAGGTAACTTGTGATTTTTAGCATATGTGATACCTCAAGAATCCTGGAATCTTTTTCATTTGTTTTCATTTGCTTTCCCCTTGGTATTGTGTTCACCTTCTGAATGAAATCATAGAATCACAGAATGGTTGGAATGGAATCTTTTTCATTTGTTTTCATTTGCTTTCCCCTTGGTATTGTGTTCACCTTCTGAATGAAATCATAGAATCACAGAATGGTTGGAATGGAATGGATCTTAAAGATCATCTAGTTCCAACCACTGACCATGGGCAGGGACACCTTCCACTAGAAGAGTTTGCTCCAAGCCCCATCCAACCTGGCCTTGAACCCTTCCAGCTGTGGATGGGGCATCCACAGGTTCTCTGGGCAACCTCAAGGCTGTAGCTGGATGAATGGGCACTTTAGGCCACATATTTTAGTTTATAGAAGACACTGATGGCTGAAGGTACAGTGCAAAGTCATTAATGGTGCTTTGCTAAACTAAGCCCTCTAAGATGTGTTTCATTGTTTACATAATGCAGTAAACATGCACAACTAATTGCTTAGAGCAAGTGTAGGAGTTTTGTAACAAAACCATCTGCATCTGAAACAACTTTATACTGTCTTTCTCAGCCTTCTTGCTGTCTCTCTCTATGATGGGTAAGAGCTTTCTAATCACTTTTTTAGAAGACAAATCTCTTGTTTTAATATTGTGATGCTTCCTTCTGTCTGTTGTGTTTTGGAAGGTTTGTGATTTATTTTTTTTTCACAAGTCTTCAGTGTATTTCTCCTAATATAAGTGTGCAGGGTGAATCTGGTGCAGGGTGGTGGCTCTTAGATGCAGTGTTTGTGGTGTTATGTTTACACACTTTCCCCCACATGTTTCACTGAATGTAACAGCTGTAAGACTTGGTACCCCTTCAAAATTGTGGTACCTGAGATGAAAAATGTTTTCCCTCTTAGTCACCATCCCTGGAAGTGTGGAAGAGGTGTCTGGATCTGATGCTGGAGGATCTGGTTTAGGGGTTCCAGCAGTGACAGGTTAATGGTTGGACTGGATGATCTCAGAGGTCTCCTCCAGCCTTGGTGACTCTGTGACTCTAATGCTGCACCTCTTTCATTTCAGCCTTTCACAAGAGTACTCAGAGTCGTTTCAGTCAGATTGGTTGGCACACAGATGATCTTTGCTGCAGTTAGGTGCTGTAAGCCCAGCTGTGCTGCTGAGGAGTGATGACAATAAAAGGCCGAATTGCAGTGCCCTCAGCAGTTTGCACTCCTTGGGAGCACAATGACAAAAGTCTTGCGAAGCGAATCACTGGTCTGACCTCAGTGCAAGAGCTGGCAGGCAGCAGCAGCAGCAGGAGAGTGGTGGGATCAGAAGTACAGGGCAGGCAGGAGACAATCTAGGGAGCTTCCAACAGGAGCAAGAGAGGCTCAGGAACATGAAGCCTGAGACCTGCTGTAACAGCTCATCTACTGCATTCAGAGGAAAGGTGTAAATGCAGGTTCACAGACTCTGCTGATGTGGAGCCCAACTTTGCTGGATCAAACTGGTATTTCTAGTTTCTAACACTTTACCTACCAAAAGCTTGTGTGAATGTTGGAACTAATGAGTCTTCCTCCCCCTACCCCCCACGATGTTTTTTGTAGGATAGGTGCCTTCTGTCTCCATTCCCTGCCATTTGGAGAATCTTTAATCTGCCTCTCTCACCATCACCATCCCCAGAAGTGTTGAAGAGGCATTTGGATCTGGCACTGGAGGATCTGGTTTAGGGGTTCCAGCAGTGACAGGTTAATGGTTGGACTTGGTGATCTTAGAGGTCTCCTCCAGCCTCAATGATTCTATGATTCTGTACCTTGCTGTGTTGCTTCAGTGATTATATATGCAAATGTTTGCATTATCTGAAATAGTTGGATAAAGTAGGCCAGAAAGCCAAAAAATAAATTAGCAGGTTTGTTTTGATGATCCTTTTGTCATTTACACTTCTGGTGTCTCGTGGATTTGGTTGCAGGAATCTGGGCAGGGTCAAGATGGTTGCACAAAAAAGGAGCAAGTACATCTTGCCCAGAAGTGTTAGGGTACGTGAAATCTGACAGCATTGCACATAACTAGTCAGGGAAAGGAGTGGTGTTTAGTGCAGGTTTAGTTGCACAAGGGATTTCTTGGGTGGTGCCAACAATTTTGAACTTCAGGTTGCTAAGGTTTAACCTGCTGCCTGGTGTTCTCTGTTAACAGGGTGGTGGGGAGGAGTGTCAGGTGCTGTTCTGTAGTAGGGACTTTCAGTTTTCAGCTTTTTGTCCTCTGGAGGTTTTTTTGCCAAAGCAATGGACAACATGATCTCTCAAAAGAGTACAGAGAACATGTAAGATCAGCCATCAAGTCTTCAGGTTCAGAAGAGCATGTAAAAATCTGACAATGTATCCAGCCCCATATTTTCTTTTTGTTCAATTTCTTCAAGTCTTTTGCTGTATACACTAACCTTAGTATTATTTTTATGTAACTTGCTTATGTTCTGTAATTTGCTCTTTAAAGGGACACGTTCAGGTTTGCTGTAATGACAATGTCTGTAAAATCACCTCACAGTTAAGCTCCATCGTTTTCCACAAAAGCACTTGCTGTGTCTTGACAGTGAATGCACAAGTAGCTTAGGCAATGCTTAGGGAATGGGTTGGGCAAATCTGAATGGCTGATTTCAGGGCCAGTGTGACCACTGGTGTTGCACAGTCTGTAAATGGATCTGTGTAGGAAAGTCACAAATTGCTTTCCTGCTCTGAGAAGTGATTACAAAACTAGATACAGCTAATGAACTCTTTCAGGAGCAGCATGGGAACCTACTAGTGTGCTTTTAGACACAGATTACATCAGTTACTTACCTTTTCTACAGCCAGGGCTGCATTTCAGATTAGGTTCTATTTCTCCTCTATCCTTGCTGCATACCTCTGTCCCTTGCCTGTCAACTGGCACTGACTGCTAGCTGCCTGACAAGGTACTAAATTTCATGCTGATGTTATCTGGTTTGTTAGTTTTTTTTCCTAAGCTAGTTCTTTTCTAAAGCTTTAGTATTCCAAGCATCTCTGTTTGGATTTTATGGTTTAATATTCTTCTTTCAGAACGTCAGTCTGAGTTGCCAACACAGAGCAAGGCCAGTTTCCCCAGCATCCTCAGCGATCCTGACCCAGATTCTTCCAACTCTGGTTTCGACAGCTCTGTTGCTTCCCAGATCACAGAAGCCTTAGTGAGTGGACCAAAACCTCCTATAGAAAGTATGTGAGTTTTCACATTGTTGTTTCTGTAACCCACAACATGCTGTGTTGTTATACTTCTTCAGATCAAATGAATGGGATTCAGAAGTATTTTCAAGGCGTGAAATGGGAATTAAGATGGATGAAACAGTGCAGAACTGTGTCAGGCTGTCTCTAGATCAGATTCCATGGCATTCACATTTCCAGGCTTAAAAATCTGGAGTCTGTCTTCAGGCTGTTCCCTGTGTCCTCTGTTGGCTAACAGATCTTACTCCCCTACACTAAGATCTGCATTGCCTGGTAACACCTCCCAAGGAAGTAGTTCCTATGGAAGGGAAAAAAACCACAAGATCAGTAACTTAGGGATCTGAATCAAGAGGAAAACCTGACTGATATAACAATATCACTAAAAATTAGAGTCACAGAATCAGTCAGGTTGGAAGAGACCACAATGGGTCATCTGGTCCAATTTCCCTGCTCAAACAGAGCCACCCTAGAGCACATGGCTCAGGATTGTGTCCAGATGGTTCTGGAATATCTCCAGTGAGGGAGAATCCATGACCTCTCTGGGCAACCTGTTCAGTGCTCAGTGACTGCACAGGAAAGAAGTTCTTCCTTGTATTCAGGTGGAACTTCCTGTGCTTCAGTTTATTGGTGGAAAGCAGTAAACCTTTTGTTTATTGGTTTCCACCACTAAGCAGAGTCTGGTCCATCCTCTTGGCACTTCCCATTTATGGACTTGAATACATTAATGAGGTTCTTCTCAGTCATTTCTTCCCAAGACTGAACAGGCCCAACTCCCTCAGCCTTTCCTCATCACTGAGGTGCTCCAGTCCCTTCAGCATCTTTGTTGTCCTCTGCTGGACCTGCTCCAGGAGCTCCATGTCCCTCTGGTCCCGAGGAGCCCAGAACTGGACACAATCCTCCAGGTGTGGCCTCACCAGGGCTGAGCAGAGAGGCAGGATCAGCTCCCTGACCTGCTGGCAATGCTCTTCTTAATGCATCCCAGGATTCCATTGGCCTTCTTAGCCACAAGGACACACTGTGACTCATGGACAGTCTGTTGTCCACCAGGACCTCCAGGTCCTTCCCACAGAGCTGCTCTCCAGCAGGTCAGTGTCCAGCCTGTACTTGTGCCGGGGGTAATTCCTTCCCAGGTGCAGAACCTGCACTTGTCCTTGTGGAATCTCAGTTGGTTCTGCTCTGCCCATCTCTCCAACCTGCTGAGGTCCCTCTGAAGGGCAGCACAGCCCTCTGAGGTATCAGCCACTCCTCCCAGTTCTGTATCATCAGCAAACTTGCTGAGAAGGCAACTCTGTCCCCTCGGCCAAGTCACTGATGGGCAAGTTGAACAAAACTGGGCCCAGTATGGAGCCCTGGTGTCTCCACTAGTGACAGCCTCCAACTAGACTCTGTGCCACTGATCACAGCTCTCTGCAATCTGCTGCTCAGCCAGTTCTCAGTTCATTTTACTGTCCACAGTCATTGCCCACATCAGCAATAAGTATTTTTCTGGGAGACAGATAGGATTGTAATGCTGTTCTCAGTGTTACAACTTGAAGTAATGGGGACTTTGAGGGCTCTTCTTTTTGTGCTGATATAAAACAGAATACCTGAAGTTTCAGGAAACCATTTCACATTGTTGCCACTGTAGGTCACTTTCGACCAGAGTTTATTCGACCACCACCTCCACTGCACATATGTGAGGATGAATTGGCCTGGTTAAATCCCATCGAGCCAGATCACACCATCCAGTGGGACAAGTCAATGTGTGTTAAGAACAGCACTGGAGTTGAGATAAAAAGAATCATGGCAAAAGCTTTTAAAAGTCCTTTGACTTCCCCACAGCAAACACAGGTAAGGGTGATGCACTTCCCTGTCTACATGCTTTGCTAACAAACTGTCTATTAACAGATGTATTTTAGAAGACTTTGAGCACTTTAGTTAATCTGTGTTTGGATTCAGGAAACTCCGAGTACTTCAAATTGTGACAACACAAGACTTTTGACTTGTGTTTATATGAGTAGGGAAGAAATCCTTAAACTTCTTAGCAGTGACTGGACATAGTAACAGTTGATCAATAAGTGACATGGAAAAATCTTCTCAAAATGAAGTTGTTCATGCTTCTGTGAAAGCTTTTGGAAAGGAATTATTTCAGAAATACCAATACTGAATTTTTTTTTACTCATTTTGATACTACTGCCCCTGATTTCAGTGAGCTTTTCTCATAATCATTACACTGGCACTCTTATCTTTATTTGCAGAACTCTTTCTGACAACAGGAACTGGAAATTGAGGTTTCTTTCTACTGCACAAGAAAGTAAAGAAGGCTGAAACTTTTCATAGTTGTTTTTGGGGTTTTTTCCCTCCCTTCTTTGCCACCCACTGGTGAAAGTCTTTTATTAAAGGTTTTATGGGCACAGTTGCCTATCATAGAAATTTTAAAGCACACTTCAGTGTTATTTTCAATAGAGAAGCCTAAATCTAAAGGATTGTCATTCTCCTCTTTGTTGGATATATTATAGCAGTTTCTTCAAGCAGTAATGTGGATAGTTAAGGAAAAAAACCTGAGGTTGTTGCTTATTTGTGTTTTGTTTTTGTTTTCTTTACAGCTCCTTGGAGAACTGGAAAAGGACCCCAAACTTGTTTACCATATTGGTCTCACTCCTGCCAAATTGCCAGACCTGGTTGAAAACAATCCTTTAGTAGCTATAGAAATGTTGCTGAAACTAATGCAGTCTAGTCAAATAACAGAGTATTTTTCTGTCTTGGTCAACATGGACATGTCCTTACACTCAATGGAAGTTGTCAATAGGTTAGTATGATCTCAAGTATAATAAGGTTTCCTTAAGTCTCAGCACCCCAGGGAATGGTCTGAAGTTGTGTCAGGGGAGGTTTAGGCTGCATGTTAGGAAATGGTTCTTCCCCCAGAGAGTGGCTGGGCACTGGAACAGCTCTGATTCCAACTCTGATTGTTCTGTGAAGTGTGTAAAACAAATAAGTGAACAGTTATGAAGTGATTGTGAGGCTGTGCCACAGGGCTGTGTTTAGATGCATTCCAAAGACTACAGAATCACAGAGTATTTGGAGTTGGAAGGGACCGTTAAGGGTCATCAAATCCAACCCCTGGCCTGGCATAGGACATCCCCAGCAATCACACCCTGTGCCTGAGAGCACTGTCCAAACACCTCTGGAGCTCTGTCAGCCTTGGGGCTGTGACACTGCCCTGGGGATTCTGTCCCACTGCCACTGTCACAAGAAACAGGAGTTGAAGAAATGACTAATCAGGTTATAGTGAAGGGAATTGGTTTACCCTGTCTGTGTTAATGGTTTTGTTTGTTGGGATTTATTTTAATACTGTTTTAATAATAAGACCTAGTGTGCTCTGATTAGTCAGAGGAAGAGTGTACTGTGGATTTGTTGCTTTCTGTGACTGTCTGAACTGTCTTTCATAAAGGCTTTAGAATCATAGAATCACAAGATTGGAGGAGACCTCTAAGATCA